TTTATGATATAAATACACATTCTAACCCATCATACAATATCTTGTAATACAAAGAGTGATGAAGAAACAACAATAATTTTAATAAAATACTATCTTAAAAGAGTAAAAAGATGAATATTCAAGTAAATATCATTAATTAAATGGTTTTGTGAATTTGAATAGGTAATAATGAAATAAGTATTTGATTATTTCAAAATTAATTAGAAGAATGAAGTTAAAAAGTGTCTTATTAAAACATTTCATTAATAACCCTTAAAAATGAATCAGTGAATCTTTTTAAATATAGAAAGTCATTACCGTTCAATTTCATATTCTTCTATTTTTTATTTTTAATTAATCAAAAAAATTCACTTTAGTTATGACTTGAAAGAAATTATTCCAATCATTTAGACTCTCTCTTTTATTCTTCTTAACTTTTCTTTTGTTGGTTTGAACCTTTCTGTTATACAAGAAATTGAAGAATAATGGTAACCCAATTACTATTTCATAGCGACCTAATGCCAATAACAATAAGTACTATATTTAAAACGATACAACAAAGTTTTGAAATACTCGTCATCACTCCCTTCTGAAAAAAATTTAAACAGTCATTCAGTAACACATAACTCATTAACTACAATAACACAAATTAAATATAGTTAAATCAATTCCAAATACTTAAACCGTCAAATACATAATACAATTTTGTTAAGGAAGAATAAGTTGCTAAACTTGAGTATTACTTCAATAGGTAAAAGAAGAGAACTATACAATTCAGATTTTAATTTAATAACCTCATTGCATTGAAATTCAATGGAAAATAAAACAACTTCTCCAACATAACATAACAAAAATCGTTTGAAGAAGTTTAATAAAAAACTAAAAGAAAAAAGGTTGTATTAGATAAACCAGATGAAAACAATAGTAGAACTTATTTTTATTTTAATACCTATCAGGAGTTAGAAGAATTTGGAATTACAATTAACTCTGGAATAAAGTTATGAAATGAGATAAATATTTAATACTTAATAAAGTAACAAAGGAATAAAAGTATTATATCAGCTTATGAAATTGGTTATATTAACAAAGAAGATGAAAGAATTATTCATGAATTTCAAGAAAAAGAAAGAAAATAACATAATTCAGTCAACTCTCAATATTCTTCTTAATTAAATAAATATTAGAAATCTATTTAATATGTACAACAATCAAAATTACATTACAAATAATATAATACCTGTATTATAAAAGATTTATGAAACTATTTATAAAAATGAATTTATAAGTAAAAAAGTTAGGTTGATAGTGATTGGAATGAATATAATTATAATTTATTCTGTTTAATTGTTCTGGAAAACAAAATTTTCTTCTTCTATTAACTAGTTTATACAATGAAGAATATCATATTTATTGATCAAATTATAAAAGTTACAAAAGAAGATGGTTTAAAACTGTTTCATAATATTTCAGTGAATATAAATATCATTCAACTCAAAAATTTAATATATTTAAAAAAATGAAACAACACTTTAAAGAAGTAATTACAAAGATATTTGTAAAGACAAATGGAGAAATAATTGAATAATCAAATTTAGTGAATTGGTTTGTATTCACTAACAAAATCCAATGATAATTTATTCGACTGATACTCAAGTTTTTATAATTGAAAACTAAAGAATTCTAAACAGTTATTTTTATGAATTTTAATTGGTTCTTATTATTGTCAAATTATTGTTTTATTAAATAGTAAATAAGTATAAATTATAGCCTTTGTTGAGAAATAGATGAAGATTCTCTTTCATCAGCTCTAATCCAATAATAAAGTGTTGATGCACATAAATTCTGATACTCTGGAAACTTCTTTAAATACCGAAGTGTGTTTGATATCCCAAGATCTTTTCCTAAAGTTACTGCTTTTTCTTTGAGACTTTTTCTCCATCTTGTTTTCTTTGGAGATTTTCTTTGAAAAGAAGGCGTTGATGAAATAACATTGTCAGAAGGATTATTTTGTGATCTGATTGCTTCTATCTCATTTCCTTCAATAACTTCATAAGTTTCTTTAGAACATGGAACAAAAGGTGATTTCATTTATGCAGTTTGTTTGAAGACAACTTAAATAGGTTAGGCAGTTAGTTTATCAATGGTACAATCTCTTCTAATCAAATCTCCAAATCATTTCATTTTTAAACAAAATCAAATCACTTTTCGTGATTGTGAAATCCTTCATTAAAAATAATTAAATAACAAGTTCTCGATCATTAATAATTGTTATGAACCAATTAATTGAAACATAATTTTAAATGTACTTAAAGAGTTTTTATTTATCTCAATTTGATTAAATGATATTAAAAATGTTTTATCATGATGTACTTCTTAAAAATATACTTAAAGCAGATACAATTAAGTGTATCTAAGAAGATAATTAATTATAATTACAAATACTTATTGAACTTATTCTTTCTAATTTTCTAAATTCTTTCTCTTTATCTTTACAATAACAATTGACAAAAATATACTAAGTGATATAGAGTCTGTTAATTAAATTATTGAAAAACATAAATCTATTATGAGTTAAACTTTAATTATATTTTATTTATGTCATGTCATTAAACTTTAACTTAAACTATAGCTTATTTATTTCTTCTTAAAGTATTTATTTATAACTAATTAATACAAAAGTATAAACAGTAAATATCTATAGTAACAAAACGAATGATTGTAAAAATTATTAAAAAAACAAGAAAGTGTATTCGAATATATCAAATATTCATTTTATACAATCAAATAAAGAGTCAAATTACAATTAATTAATCTTTTTATCTCAATTATCATAAAATAATCATACTAACTATTTTACTTTGAGAAAAAAATTGTCCAATCTTCTGATAAATTCAATAACTAAATATGGACTCTAAACAATTGAAAGAAAGAAACAGGTGATTAGAAAAAGAAGATAATATAGTTATAATGAAATAAAAAAAAAATATAGAATTTCTTAATAAATTGAACTAAAACTCATTCTATATATTCAAAAAAAGACAAAACAAAGAAATAGAATAGTTATTTATTAATGATAAATAATGAATGTTATTTGTTTAATATTAACACTTAAATTCTTTAAACAAAATAATAACAGTGAAAATAATTGAAAAATAAGGTAAACAAATTGAAATGAATATTTAAAAATTATTTGAATAATTCAGAGTTTGAATTGAATTATCTTTTGTATTTTTTAATAATAAAATATTTATCAATTTAACAAACTTATTTCTTATTATTTTAAACTATTTCAATAAAACATAATAATCATTATAAATGGTTTCTTTTAATTAATAATAACTACTTTTATAACCAATTACTGTTTTTAAGTTGGTTGTATAAAGTGTTTCTTAAATATAATTTAAATTCATTCTAGGAACTTTGAGTAGTAAGAATATTTAATTTAAAACACTTCTTCACATAATTCTATGTATTGTTGTAAGAGAAAGAAATGAAAATATTTATAATGAGAAGAAGTATTATTGGAAGAACATTAAAACAAAATTAAAACAATAATGTTCTTGAATCTATTAAAATAGACTGTTTCTTTAAAATCCTTAATATATTTATGTTTTATTTAATTAAAAATAATTAATTGTGTAGTAGTTAAATGAACAAAATGAATATCTATTTTGTTTTGAGTTTTCGTTTGAAGTGTTATATCAGGATACTAAATAAAAATAAATAATTAAAACAGCCTTCAATTTTGTAATTCTTTTTTGTTTTCTTCATTAGAACTACCACTGGAATGTGTCTGAGAAGATACTGAAGAAGTATTAGAGAATGAAGAATTTGTGCTTTTATGTTGGTTTTCAAGTTCTATTGAGACTTCAGTCATAGATTTATTTGGTATTGATTCTTTGTCTTTGTTTTCTGGACTTGAAGAAGTTGAAAGAGATTTAGGTATTTCTTCTTCATTGTTTTGTTTTTGAGACTTAAGATTTAGATACTTCCGAACAACTACAGCCACTATAAGAATAACAGCACAAACTATAAGAAATGAGACAAAAAGAGAAGAGACTATTATTGCAATTGTCTTTTTTTCTGACTTATCATTATTTATCTCTATTTCATTAGAATATTCACTTGTTGAGTTTGTTTGTCCTATCACATAGTTAATTATGAAAGTTATAAGAAAGATAGTGTTTCTATTCATCTAATAGTGAAATGGAATTTATGAACTTTATAAATGTTTTTATACAATAACAAATAATCTATTTTCTTTTTTAATTGAGTAATAAAGTTAAGTAATAATCATAATTTCTAATTCTTATTATTTAGTTAGTGTAAAAGTAGTATTGAGTTATTCTAGACTTTCTTAATGATAATAAGACAATAAAAACTAATGAGATTAAATTTTTGTATTCTTTATAATAATTTGAAAAGAATAGAAAGAAAAATAAATTAAAAAAAAAATAAGAAATTGTAACACCGAATCAAGTTTAATTATCAGCAGCTCCTTCTTTATTACCTCCTCTAATAAGACCAGTTCTTCTAGCAGCAACTTTACCAGCTTTTTGTCCTGGTGGTGATGATCTCTTAAGAGTGGTTGGATGTCCAACATGTTGATGGTTTCCTCCTCCATGTGGATGGTCAACTGGATTCATAGCAACACCTCTAACTCTTGGCCATGTAGTTCTTTTAGCCTTATACATACGATAAGCAACACCAGCCTTAAGAATTGGTTTTTCAGTTCTTCCTCCACCTGCAATAATACCAACCATAGCTCTACAATTTGATTTTAATGTCTTTTTGGCTCCAGATGGAAGTCTAATACGAGTAGTTTCATTATCAGCATTATGTGAAATAACAGTAGCATAATTTCCTGATGCTCTTGCAATAATTCCTCTATCTCCTGGTTTAGATTCAACATTACAAACAACAGTACCTTCTGGGCATTGTCCAATTGGAAGAACATTTCCAATATGAAGAGAAGCTTTACTTCCACAATAAATATATTGTCCTGAATATAATCCTTCAGCACAAATAAATAATTCTTTATCAAGTCCATATTGTCTTGGATTTCTGAAAACAACTCTAGCAAGAGGAGCTCCTCTTCCTGGATCATGTTCAATTGATTTAACTAATCCTCTAACTGTTGAATGTCTTTCAAAGAAGTCAATAGCACGATGTTGAGCAACACCTAATTTATGATGACTTCTTGATTTGAAAATAGATCCTCTTCCTTTTCTTTGACTCAGTGTTCTTCTTCCCATTCTATTTCAGAGTGGCTAACCTAAACCTATTTTTTTCTTAGTTCATTATTCTTTTTTTTTTTTTGTAATATTTCCCGTTTTTTTACTTATTTTACTCTTATTTTAATTTTCTTTATATTTATTTATTCTATATTTTATTATATTTATTTTATATTTTTTCTATATTTTATATAATAACATATTTTTAAAAAATTAAAAATTATGTTATTATATATTTATTTGAAGTAAAATAAACTTTAAACCCAACAACACTTCAATGGGTACAACTCAAGAAATTATTATTTATTATTTTCTAGCTTCTATTAATTTAGTTTTTATGATAATAGAATTAGGAGTTATTATTGTATTTTTTATTAAATGTGGAAAGAAATTAATTCATCAACATTTATATTTATTTGTATTTTTCCTTATTTTTGGACTTCATATTTCTTTATATTTTAAAATATCACAACAAATAATGAATTTAATTTTTGGGTTAAGTACAACATTATTTATATTAGGTATAAATGTACAACAAAATAATTATGTTATTTTAATTGGTATTCCAAATAAAATAATTCAAGTAATTATGGTATTAATTACTATTATTCATTTTATTGGAGTTATTGCTATTCATTCTTTAGTAATTTCTCAAAAAAATTATTTAATAATTATAAATTTATTAAATGCAGGAAGTTTAACTTTATTAGTTTTAATACAATGGAGTGGATTATTTCAAATAAGACATAGTTTACATACTAAATTAGGTATTATAGTAAGTATAGTAGAATTAATAGTGAATTGTATAAATATTTTATTAACAATTCATAGTATTATTCTTACTATTAATCCATTTTATATTAATAATGAATTTATTATTTTAATAAATAATATTTTAATTATTTTTGCTATTTGTTGTATAACTATTTTATCATTAATTATTAATAAATTCCAAAAAGAAGGATATGAAGAATTTAATGAAGAATATAATATTGTTTCTAATTCTTATTTAGTTGATATTTCATTTTTACTTCATCAACATTTATTTATTGAAGGAAAACATAGTATTATTGGAAAAGCAATATTTCTTGGTAGTGAAGTAACTTATAAACAAATTCCTTTATCTAATTTATTTAATATTGATAATTTACCAAAAGAAATTTTTTCAATGAAAATGATAAATCATCCAAATTTACCACATATTGGTGGTGTTTGTAGAACAAATTTAAATGTATATGTTATTTATGATTATTCAATGCCATATACTTTAAATAAAATATGGAATAAATCATTAAGAAGTTATCAAATTTATAAAATTATTAATGGAATGGTATCAGCATTACATTATCTTGAACAAAAAGGAATTATTCATTATCATTTACATTCAAATAATATTCTTATAAATGAAAATTGTGATAAAGTAATTATTACCGATGTATTTCCATTAATGAAATATTGGTTTATTAATAAACAAAAAAAAAGTTATTTATTACCATCAGAAATGTTAGAAGAATCATATAGAATAAAATGTATTAATGAAAATATTAAATTTGTTGTTCAATGTCTTTATAGGTTTGTAACACATTCAACTTCTCTTGATATTAAACAAATTCCTCCTCAAAGTGTTTTTCGATCTATTCTTGAATTATGGATACTTCCTGAATATGTAATGACAACAAAAAAGATGCTTAATGATTTACTTCTTCTTAAAACTTATCTCTTACAAAATCCAAATCACTATTCTTCTTTGTTATTTGCATCTAATTGATTTTTGTTTATTAAATATATTCCTTCATCTTAAATGACTTTTCATCAATAATACTCTTTTCATTTCTATTTAAAACATTATTCATACAATATATAATAGATATTTCTGGTTCTATCTTTTATTTGTTTCTTAACTTTTGTTATAATTTAAAACTTACTAACTATTTAATACCAATTAATTTAAATAAGAAGAATTACATCCATAACTATTGAAAACTTCATGTTAGTTAATCATTTTCTTTTTTCACAAAATTTTGAATATTCTATAATATTAATACTTGAATTAACTTAACTTCAGTTGAATTACTTTGTTTCTTCATTAACTATGTTAGTTTGGTAAATCTAAAAGATATAAATTTCTTAAATATACCAAATAAGAATAAATAATTATATTGAATCAATCAGAAAGAATAACAGTCAGAAGTGATTATAAATCAAAAAATAAATACTACTTAGTTCATGAACACCTACAAAACTTCTTATTTTATGTTTCTTTTTGAAATGTTTAGTTATATGTATAAAGAATTATTTAAACATACATATTAATAAACGTTGTGCATTTGCACAGTTACAATTGAAGAAACAGGAAGAGGTATTTTTTGAAGATAAAGCTACTAAGAGTATATCTGCATGTAAACATGTTACACATGAAATGAGACGTGCTAAAACAGTTGATATTATGAATGTATATCCACTTTATTAAAATATAGAAATTGAAGAACTAGTTGAAGTTGTTGTGGAATTACATCAGTTACTAATCCAACATCAATAACTATTTTCAAATCACTTATTTCAATTAAGATTCAAAATCATTTGTATTATTATTCAATCTTTCAACATTTAAATGTTCAATAAATGCAGCTAAAAATGCTAGAGGTGCAGTTATTGCAACAGGAGCACCAGAAGATTGTATTCGATATTGAATTTGGAGAACTAAAGCATCAAATAAACTAATGAATCATCTATGAGTACTGTATTCTTGTTATATGGTGAAACACTATAGCTAGTGTAGTATATTCATCAGGAAAACTAATACTTGGATTATGAGCAGAAAATGTCATAATTTATTAAATATTAAAAGACTTATAGATAGAAGAAATAATCTCTAATGGTTTAGAGTACTACCAAAAATATTCTTTGAATTTCATTCCATTTGTATCTTGCAGAACTTAATGAACTTAGTAAAATATTCATTTTATCAGATAGAGTGATGTATAATTTATGATGTGTTAATAGAATTGTTGATGTATTGAAAAGAAGAAGTAATGAAGTAGAAATTGAAATTTTTATTTAGTGTAGAACCAGATCCATCTATTCAAACAGTTCAAAAGGGACTTATTGTTATGAACACATTTGACAAAATAACGTTATTACTATTTAGTGATGATCAAATAATGATGTAACTAAGATTATGTGGTTATATGTCACATCAAGAAGCAGATTTCTTTGCAATGAAACAAAAATTCATTGATCATAGAAAGAGAGCATTTAAATTCCAACAATGAGTAAGAAAGCTAGATTAATTTGCGTTCCAACAACATCAGAAACAGAATCAGAAGTTACACAAGTTACAGTTATTGCAGATCATGAACGGTAAGAAATATCCACTTGCAGGTTATTCACTTACACCATCAGTTGGTGTTATAGATCCAATGTTTACTATGTTACTTCAAAAGAAAGCAATTAATGATACAGGAATTGATGGATTAGTTCATACAATGGAAGCGTATGTTTCAGTTATGACTAATGAATATACAGATGGACTTGTAGAGAAGCGATTAAATTAATCTTTGAAAATCTTCTTAAATCATATAATGGAGTAGAAGCAAGAGAAAATATGCATAATGCAGTTGGAATTACAGGTATGGTAGTTGCATTCATTGGTATGGATCATTCAATGTTTCACAAAGTTAGAGCATCATTCCATCTTCCACATAGTAGTTGTGTAGCAGTATTATTACCACATACCATTAGATCTAATGGACAAAAACCAAGAAAACTTGCAATGTGACCAAATATAATTTCTATAAAGCTGATCAAAGATATATGGAACTCCAACAAATGATTGAACTTAAATGTAATACACCATAGAAGGAGTTGATACATTTGATAGTACATGTGAAGAATTGATGAAAACTTCTGAAACCATTACAAGATTCAAAAAAGCACATATTGAGAAGAATCAGTATGGATGGGTAAAGTACCAGAAATAGTACTTCTTTGATTTAAAGATCAACATTCACTAGTTAATCAAAGAGTACTAATAGTTAAGGAGATTGAAAAGATTCTCAAAACTGCTTGTTATCCAACTTCTTGAATAAAAGCAAATTAAATTAGTTCTTGTTCATTTTTAATAAGTTTTCATGAATTATTTTCTTTTTGAATAAATTGAAACATTTATCAATATAGAATTAATATCTATCTAATACATTAATATTAAATCAAATATTATCATTATTTTAATTGTTTTTAATTATAATGAATTGAATGATTCTCTAACTGTCAAAAAAATAAAAGAGAAATAATCTTTTTGAAATGAAATTATGTTTTGTTTATTATTGACTTATTCTAATAACTTTAGTCTTACAAAAATATTATAATAAAACACTACATTAATTTAATACATTATTCATAATTGTCTTTTAAATCATTGTTAAAAACCATTTCATTACTTTTGTTTTTAATAATACTTATTTATTATATGTTTAATATGATGAACACTATTCATATTAATCATAAATTATTTAATAATTCTTATTCTTCTCATGTGTTTATGAATGAAATATTTATTTATATAAAACACACATTATCTAGTTATTAATATAAAACAGTAAATTTATAAATTTATATTTCTGATAATGTCTCATATTGATAAATAATAAGATGTTCTATAAAATCTATTTATGATTATTCACTTTTAAAAATTCATAACAATAACTTATATATTAATTAATATTTGGTAGGCTTATTACAACAACTTTACATTTTTATTACAAGACATTATTTCTTCTTTTCCAAATACTATTATGAGTTATAATTCAATACAATAGTTCCTTTGTTATAAAACTGTTTCATGAAAGTTATTAATTATCAATTATATTGATAATACACTAACGTTTTAAATACTCCGTTTAACTTCTTTTTCCACATCTTTTGATTATTATCTTTTTACTGAACATTAATATACGAACCAATAAAATACTTTTAACTCCATTGTTTCTTTAATTAAACTACTCAGAATCAATAAATCAATAAAACAAATTTTATTCTTTGAATTTAACAATCTTGGCTATAATGTTGAACATAATATTTTATATTAAACTTAAAGAAGATTGTACCGAAAAGATATTATCTGTTAAACAATTAAAATATAATTAAAATAAATAAATCAACAAAGAGATGGTATTCATTCAAGAGAGAGTATTTTTCTTCTATTCTTCATATGAAAATTAGTTGTTTTGATAAATAAATCGATTTTTATTTATAGAATAAATCAAATGATAAAAAGTATTTTAAGAAAATTAATGTTATTTATTTTATTAAAAACAAGTTTAAAAAAAAGTAAAAAAACTATAAAAAATAAAAGAAAAATAGGTAGATAGTCATAAAAAATGAACTGGATAAAACTGAAATAGGCAATGATGCTGTTGTTTACACTGATTTGTATTAGTACAGCTTTAAATTGTGCTTCTATGGTTGATGGAACTCTCTACACAAAAGAAGAAGCTTTTGAGTGTATTTATGAAACTAGTTTAGATATTTCAGATGCAGTAAGTATTCAAGGAGACATTGAAGACTTAATTGGGATGTATGCTTATTTAGATATTCTTCAATCACCACTAAAAGAAGACCAGTATTACTATGTTGAAGCACACCTTGAAGAAGAGTTAAAGTCTTTAAATACAGACACCCAACCGATATATCAGTTTTATAGAAAAGTTGATGATATAATGAGACTCGCAAAAGATCCAAATTTAAAGTTTAAGTTTAGTTCATCAAAGAAGAAGAATTTCTATTTTGACAGTTTTAAGGCTATTCTTCCTTTCAAATTCATTATTGACCAATCTACTGTCAAAACTCAAATTATTGAACAGAGCGGTTATACTGTTCCACAAGAACTTATTGACAATAATAATCAAGAAGTAAAATTAATTAATAAACAAAAACCATTAGAATATCTTCGTACACTCAGTAATAAATTAATTAGTTTAAAAAATGCTAATACTGCCTTTAATTATATGCTTCATTATCATTTCCAAATAGATTTAGGAGAAATTCCTTTAACATCAGATGAATTAGAAGATATAGTTATTGAATATATTAATGGAGTGACTGTAACAATACCCTATAAACTTCTTTATAAAGAAGTTAAAGGTGCATTAAAAAATTCAATAAAACATAGTAATAATAGTCAATTTAAATATACAAGCGATGATAATAATGTAAAATGTGGAATATTTATTGAAGGAGAAAAAAGTATAAATGTAATAGTTATTAATAGTTTTTATTATGACGTAAGCAATAAAACATCAACATATATTCAAACATTAAATAAATGTTTTGAAATGATTGATGAGAATGATTATCCAATTGAAGTTATTCTTCCAATGAATGAAGGAGGAGATGCAGATATTGAAGGAAGTATTTTTAAATTACTTTCACCACATGCAGATAATTATATATATGGTAGTGTAAGAGTAGATGATAATAGTGAAAAAATATTAAAATTAGATATTGCACAACATATGTATGATCCAAAGAATTGTCAAGTAAGAAGATCTGTCAGTGGAAATAATATTATCATTAATTTAAAAAAACCTCTTGGGCCATTTTACTCTAAACCAGTTGTTGATAAATTTGAAAATGATATTACTCATACTAGATCTCAAGTATCTATCATGAAGTCTAACGATGTACTATTTTTTACTGAATTAAAAAATCATCCAAGAAGTCCACACCAAATTGTTATTTTTACTGATGGTTATTGTAGAGGAACTTGTTCATTCTTTATAAAAAATCTTGCTGAATCAGGGTCTGCAATTATAGTTGGATATGGTGGAGATCCAGAAAATAATGAGTTTGATATTGGAACAGCTTCATCTATTATTATGGCGTCAGGGTATGCTTTATGTGGTTCATCAACTGATTTAACTAAAGAAGGATCCCATATGACTGTGTCATTTGTTGAGTTATATCCAACAGATTATTCATTTAAGAGTAATATACCAAGAGAATTTATTAAAGGAAGAAGTAATGAACGAGTTGCATTATATGATTATAGTGATAATGATATAAATAAATTTGTTAGTGAAGGTCTTAGATTAGTAAATAAATATCTTATTGAATGTGATGTTAATTCACCTATGGTCTTACAAAATCCTAAATGTGATGAGAAACTTAAAGGTGAGCATATTCATGGAGGACATCCATGTATCGAAGGAAGATGGTATACATTAAGTTGTGTTCCATCTTATTGTGATTATGGATATAAATTTGATAGAACAAGTCAAACATGTATTGAAGATACTTGTTATGTCCCACCAAATGATACATCATCTTCGTCATTAGAAGATTCATCTTATATTCCAAATGAATCTTCTTCTTCATCTAATACAAACGAAACATCAAGTTCTGAATTACAAGAGCCAACAACAGATTCTATGGTATACGTTGTTGTAGGGAGTGCTATAGGATTTGCTGGAATAGTGATAATAGCAGCAGTAATAGGAATTGTAGCTGTAATATTGATGAATAGGAAATCAAAGCCAAAATATACAACTTTCGAATAAAAAAAGAGATTATTAAGTAATTTTTTCTAATTTCTTTAATCAATTAGAAGTTTTTTTTTAAGTAAATAAATAACAAAAAAGGGTTTTTTTTTAATACTTTGTTAAACTAAAAATATTTTTTAAAATGAATTGGGCTGATTCTGTGGTTCCTGAAGAAGAACAATGGATTCCATTTTATTATGAAGAGGATGTTACTAATATCAGTAATGAACAAAACGAAAAAGCACCATTTGTTCCTATTACTATACAAACATTAAATCAATTAATTCCTTTTATGAAAGTTTGATAGTTATTAATAACTATTTATAAATATTTATCGTTAATAGTTAAAACAAAGTGATGTTCTACTAGACTTAGGTTGTGGGGATGGTAGAATAATAATTGAGTCGTTACTTCAGACTCAATGTAACGAAGCATATGGAATTGATATTGAACCAGAAGCTATATCTCAAGCTAAGAGTCATTATAAAGAAAGTAAATTAAATAAGCCAATAACATTTATTTGTGATGACTTCTTTAAAACTAATCAAATACCATGGAATAAGATAACAGTAGTGGTTATGTATTTATTACCAAGTATAATGGATAAATTATATCCACTATTAAAATCTAAATTATCTCATTGCAGAATATTTTGTGCATGTTTTAAAATGTCATCAAATATTCCACAAACAATTATTCGTTCATCTTCATTCCCTGATTTTATTGAAATAAAATTATAATCTTTTTATTTTTGTTTTTAATATCAAAAATCTTCTTTTATCAAGTCTTTCAGTATTAGATAAAAATATCATCTTTGAAAGAACTTAATTTATTATTCTATGGCAAATGCCTCAAATATACTTCAATTTATCATGAGTCGATGGATCGGTTCAAATAAATATGAAATCGTTTATGATACTGAACAGCACGAATTTACTTCAAGATCATTTTGGAGTCATTTGAAAGGAAGACAAAATATTATAGTCTTTATTATAACAGAACACAACTATATTTTTGGGACATTTCATTCTAAATTACCTCCATCACAAGAGGTATGGGTGAAGATGATGATCTC